AGAGAAACATCGATCAGCTGCCTCCTGCACATCTCCTACTGGGGATGTGCCCGCAACCCAGGTACATGCCCTTGACCGGAATCAAACCTGGGACCTTTTAGTCCGCAGGCTGACGCTCTATCCACTGAGCCAAACCGGTTTTGGCATAATCTGTTTCTTTACTTGCTATCTGTATGACCCTGGAGAAATCAAGTGAATCTCAGCATCTCACTGTGCGTTTATGATAAATAAACAAGGTACATTATGAGAGCATCTAGCACGTCAGACACATATTACCTGCTCAAAACACATTTGCCTTGTTTCTGCATTGATTGTGGAGAAGCGTCTTCAGTGTACTGTAATGGGTATTACACTGAGAAAAAAATAGAAACGCATTCATTCTACCAAATCCCTACGCTGCTCCTCCCCTCCGCACAACTTGAGCAGAGTGAGTGGAATAACATATGGACAAATCAGTTGCCTCGTGGAGTGAGGAACTTATATTACCTTAGTGCATAGCTGAGTTTTATTCTGACTCTGGGACTGACACATCTGAGATTGCTCCTAAGTAGCAACTGTTATCATCTAAACTGAAAAGAATAGTTTTGCCTTTTCTTGGAGGATAGGGACCCATCTTATTCTCAGTATCTTAGTATTCTGCGTAGGTGCCCCACAGTCAAAGGGTATTTAATGAAGCGCACCTAGCTACAGAATTGGATTTCTGCCTCAGGGGCAATGAATAGGCCACACAGTCTTCCTAATGTGTCAGTCTACATTCAGATTGTCATGCCCATGTCGGGACTTTTCTACCCTCCTTTTTGTGTACAGAAAAAGATGTTATTCTCACAGAATAAACCATGAGCCCATAAAATGACAGCTGTGATGGCAAGTCGTACAGTGCTTCTGTAATTCTGGCGAAGACAGGAATTGGAGAGGGAGGGCAGAGCAGCTGCCCTCAAGGAGTAGAAGGGCTGCAGATGGGAGAAGGAATGCTCCAGCTCTGGACTCCAAAAGGCAGAGCTGGAGTTGAGGGGCAGGAGTTGAAGGGAGGCGTGGTCAGGTTGAGAGAATCAAGGCTGCCCGGTCCGGCAGTGCCCCCAATGTGGTGCGATCTCCTCTACTGAAATTTTGACTCATAGCAGTATACTCTGATATCGGTTTATCGGGAATATTATAGCAGAAACTAGAGCTCTGTTTTCTTCTTAACTTGTAAAATGAGGATATTAATTTTAATTTATCAACTCACAAGTGAAGGATTGGATCCAGCTAAACCTGAAGAGACCCCTTTGCTAGTTTTCTGGCATCTGTAAGGCGTTAGTTGCAGTGATTTTCAGCCTTTGCTGCAGATTAGAATTAACTTGGGAACTTTGAAAATCCTGGATGTCTAGATCACATCTGCAGAGACGCTGGCTTGACTGGTGTGGGGCGTGGCTTAAGTGTTAGAATTTTTTCAGAACTTCCCAAGTGACTCTAATAGACTGCAGTTTTGAGAATCACTGAACTCACGTGCTGTTAGAGAGTATGATTCTGAATTTTAGTTTGGGATCTGAATTAACTATAGATATAATGTTGAGCAACTCCTTTAACTTCTACGGTTCCATATTATTTATTTACTAAAAAAGAGGGGGGGCATATATACTTCCAAAGCAACTTCCTCTAAAATTGTATTATTTCGAGCCCTTAAGAGTTTATGAATTATGCCCGGCTGGTGTGGCTTAGTGGTTGAGTGTTGACCTATGAACCAGGAGGTCATGGTTGGGTTCTCAGTCAGGGCACATGTCTAGGTTTCAGACTTGATCCCCAGTGGGGGACATGCAGGAGGCAGCCATCAATGATTGTCTCATCAAATGATTGTCTCATCATTGATGTTTTTATCGCTCTCTCCCTTCCTCTCTGAAATGAATAAAAAATATATTAAAAAGTTTATGAATTATGGAAAGGCACTGACTGCGTCCCAGAATTAGAAGAGGATCTCTGTTCAGCGCCATGGGAGTTTTTGTGCTCTTTTTATCAGTTTTGATGCTAGTCATAGCCTGCCAATGTGGGGGTGTTTCTATCTCTCAGAGGAACGGGCGGTTCCAACAGTGTTCAGGTGATGGGCTGTCTCGGAAACTGATAGCGGATAAAAGTGGGCTTCTTCGCTCTTTTCCATGTTTCCAGAAGATACTTTGCTGCCAGGGTCAGAGTCACCTAACGGATGCCTGGACACTTTTCTTGTTGTTTTGTGTAGATGGCTGTCTTTGAGCTCTTTGGGGCTTGCTGCCTTACGTTCAGCTCAGTGACTTGCTTTCCAAGGTTGTGCTAACTCTAACCCAGAACACGGGTTCTCTCGTAGTCGTGATTTTATTTCTACCCAAATGAGTGTATGTCTCATTGTCACTTTGGTGGTGCAGCAACTGACCATTGAGGGACAAGGACACAGGATTCTATCCACCCCACCCCCCGCCCTTAGGACAATGTAAGCAGGACCCCCATTATTAGGTTTTCTCGAAGATGTTGCTTGCAAAACAAAAAGACAACCTACGGGATAGGAGAACATTTTCGCCAGTGATATTTCTGGTAAGGGGTTAATTTCCAAAATTTATAAGGAAGTCATTCAACTCAACACCAAGAAGCAAACAATCCAATTTAAAAATTGGCCAAATGCCTGAATAGACACTTCTCCAAAGAGGACATACAGATAGCCAATAGACATACAAAAAGACGCTCAACATCACTAATCATCAGAGAAATGCAAATTAAACCTCAAAGTTACGTCACCTCACATCTGTCACAATGGCTACCATCAATGAATCAATAACAGTAAGTGTTGGTGAGGATGTGAAGAAAAGAGAACCCTTGTGTACTGTTCGTTGGTGGGAATGCAAATGGGTGCAGTCACCATGGACAACATATGAAGTGTCCTCAAAACATTAAAAATGAAACTGCCTTAGGACGAAGAGAACCCTTGTGTACTGTTTGTTGGTGGGAATGCAAATGGGTGTAGTCACTATGGACAACATATGAAGTGTCCTCAAAACATTAAAAATGAAACTGCCTTAGGACCCAACAATTCTACTTCTGGGTATATAGCCGAAGAAAATGGAAACACGACTTTAAAAGAATATGTGTGCCCCTAGGTTCATTGCAGTGTTATTTACAATAGCCAAGATATGAAGCAACTCAAGTGCCATCAGCAGACAAATAGATAAAAAGTGGTGGTATATCTGAACAATGGAATATTACTCAGCCATCAAAAAGAAGGAAACCTTACCATTTGTGACAGCATGGATGGCCCTAGAGAGTCTTGTACTAAGTGAAATAAGTCAGTCAGAGAAAGACAAATACCATATCACATTGTAACAACTATGTAAGGTGCCTGGTGGATCCGAAAATATGAAGGGGGGAGCACTTTGTGAAGTGTGATTGTCTGACCACTGTGCTGTGCACCTGAAACTAATACAAAATAACACTGCATATAAACTATTATAAAATAAAATATAATAAGATGTATAACTGCCATTCTCCAGCACATTTCCTCAATTCGCTGAGATTTTGTTTCCTGATAATTGCTGTCAGTTTGGCTCAAATAAATTCCTATATTTCTCTAAAACATGTTTTTTTAAAAAAATTCTGGTTATTCAGATTTGTTAGTGTCAGATTTATTTGCCACACAATGTGCATAAAAATAATTATAGAAATGTGGGCTATCACGAGGCATAAAATATCAGATTTTTATATGGAGATATGATGGAGTGATTTTTATGTGTGAAACTTCTTTCTCCCCAAAGAAACTTTTAAGAAGAAGGATAGTTTCCCATTACTATTTTAATATTCCCTGAATCTCTAGCTTTAAAAAAAAAATCCAAGTCCATTAGTATGTACACAATTCAAGGTAAATCACCCACTTAAAACTCCATCTTATTGGGAGAAAAACTTGAAGTCTTTGGATTACCTGTGAAAGAGTTAAAAATATTTTCTTCCTATGCTGGATGTCAGATCTGGACACGTTTACTCGTGTTTCCTAGTGCATGTGCATTATGGAAGTAGGAAAGAACTGCGTGTGTGTGTGTGTGTGTGTGTGTGTGTGTGTGTGTGTGTGGTTTAATCTGGGAGGCAACAAAGCAATAAAAAGGATCACAGGGCACCACGTTAGTGACAAACCACAGGAGGCTGTTCCCAAAAGGTTGTGAAAACTGGTTTCTCGTTGCAGGATTTGGGTTGGTCC